TCGGAATCGGGGCAGTCGTTGGACCGGTCGCTGGAATAGTCTACGGAGCGGTATGGGTGATGCATGTGGAATGTGTTAATTATATTATATTAAAATTAAATATTTAATAATAAATTGATTTAATAATTTATTATTTCATAAATAAAAATTAAAAAAAAATCGGATTTTTAAAATTTCAAACTATAAACCTAATTTTTGAATTGATGTAAAGTATACACCTTATTTATGAATTTTTCCTTTTAGAAAAAGGATAATTCTGTGTGTACAGAATTGTTTTTCATATAAGCATGCCAAAACACTCACATGGGGTGGCCCCATGTGAGTAAAATATTAAAAAAAAAAAAAAATTCCACCCACCCCCTAATGTGAGTATCTAATTTTTTTTTTCTGTGAGTCATGTTTCTGTACGTGAAGCTTAGAAAAATCATGTTAAAAATTTCTTTAAAGTGAAAAATGGGTCATTTTTTGTCCACAAATATCAGCTTTTATTTTTCTTTACCAATAACTCCACCCTTCTTTTTTGTTAGCCGCTAAAATTAATATTTTTTATATTAGTCAAATCAACTAATAGTCTAACATAAACGAAGTGATGAATTAAAAATAAAATAAAAATTCAACAATTAATTTAAAACAAATAAAATTCAGAAATCATGTAAAATTTTCTAAAACAAAATAATAACCACCGCTGTATTTTAATTTTTTGTTTAACATTTTAAAACTATCAAAAAATCAGAGTAATGCTATTCGTAGTCGTTCAATATCGATAATTGGTCCTAAAATAATTGATGTGCTCTTATAATTAAAAAAGTGAGAAACACTGAAAAAGGGAAGAAATAGAAAAAAAAAAAGTCAAAACATTAACAATGTGACTAGAAAATCAAAACAAGCGATAGAAATTAAAAAAGGAAAAAACATTGTAAAAGTGAAAGAAATTAAAGAGGGTGACAGAAATTCTGAAAAAAGTAATAGAAATTTCAAGAAAGTGACATAAAATTTGTTTTAAAAAAAGAGTACTCAAAAAGTGATAAAAATTCAAGAAAATGACAAACATTCGAAAAATTGAAGAAAATTCAAAGACAGTGTGACATGCACTCAAAAAAGTAACACAAATTAAAAAAAAAAAAATGATAAGCACTCGAAAAAAGTGACATATACTAAAAAAAAAGTGACACAAGTTGAAAAAAAAAGTGACAGAAAGTAGAAAAAAGTGATAGAAATTAAATAAACCGACAAACATTCAAAAAGTGATGGAAACAAAAAGAAAATGAAACACTTGAAAAATTGACAAAATTTTAAGTTAGTTCACCGACTTAAAAAAAGTAACACAATCATTCTCTCTCCTCTTTCTCCGTGTACTGTCAAGCACTTTTAAGTCAGTTCATCGACATTTTTGAAATAAAAAATACTGCGTAAAATTAAGTATCACTTTTTTAATGCTAAAAAAACAGTGACGGTGTAAAAAGAATAACAAGAATTTCAAGAAAGTGACAAACCAAAAAAAAAAAAAATAGAGATACTAAAAAAAAGTGGTAGAAATTAAAAAAAAATGACAAACATTGGAAAAGCGAAATTTTTTCTAAAAAAAGTGTCAAATTCAAAAAATTGATAAAACATTAATTAAAATATTGGAATCAGATCAATAAAGCTACTAAACTTTTCATTTAACCGTTATTATCTCGTGAGGAGAATATAATGCAACTTTCCCTTTAAACCAACATTATTGAAGGATTATTAAATTTCAATCCTACAAAAAGAAAGTGACACATTCAAAAGAGTGATATGAAATTTAAAAAAAAAATGATAAACATAAAAAAAGTGACAAAAATTCAAAAAAACAAAAAAGTGAAAAATTCTAAAAAAAAGTGATAGAAATTTTTATTTTTATTTTTAAAAAAAAGTGACACAAATTAAAAAAAAAAAGTGACAAACACTTGAAAAAGTTACATAAATTCAAGAAAAGGTGACAATTCAATAAACGTGATAGAAAATAAAAAAGTGACAAACACTAAAAAAATGACAGAACTTAATTTAAGAAATACGACAACCTATAAGTTAGAAGTGTGAGAATTTCAAAAAAGTGACAGAATTTTTTTTTAAAAAAAGACAAATTCACGTTCATGTCTATGATTCCAAACCAACATGTTGTCTGCATGTAAAATCACATATAATCATCTATGAGATCATAAATCACCATTGATATGTACTGCTTAATCGATTTATGCACTATTATCCACCACCACCAAACACCGGGAAACCACCATGTGCGACCTCATATTCAGACTCTTGTAAGTGTCAATGCACGTATTGTCACTCTTCAATGTGGTCTATGCAATTTTTAGATTTCTCACTTCCTATCTTGTTAGGATAGTACTTTGTTCCCATTCCTTTATCTCTTCCATTTCCCAACTATAAAATACTTGATTTATTTGTCAAAAATTTCAATTAATTTATACAATTTATTTTATAGTTTGTTATAAGATCATTTTCAACCATACATTCACACAATAAAATATTCTACATGTTCTCCCAAAAATTGTTCCTACTTTTTAACCACACATTCTTCTAAAAATACTATTCAAAATTGATTTTTGTTTTTCAATTAATGGGAATCAAATGGGCACTTATCAAAATATATCCAGATCATTACAAAGTTCCATTTTCCTCATGAATCCAATCAAGGTCAATAAATAGTGGAGTCGCCGTGTCGGTTTTCATTTTTCTGTAGAGGAATGAAAAATTCATGGATTCACTCACTTTCTTAGTTTCTGGTGTGCTCTTTTTCCATTTTTATGTTCCATTTCCAATGCACAACTAGCATCGGCATAAAGCAGAATCCTTTTTCAACTTCAATAGTTTCTTGAATTTCCACCAGCTCTTCAATAGAAAGCTTTTCCCAGGAACTTTGCAGTTTCTCAGCAAACTCTTTCGACTAAATTTTTAATGGACTCATTCTCCATTGTCCTAACAAAGCTTTCAAATCTGCAGAAACTATCAGTAGTGTCATCAGGATTATGGAGTCCCTTGTTCATAAAGAAGACTTCTAGTATTACAATCTAAGATTTTGAACCAATTCCTTGTTCCAATTGCAAAGCAGTTGACCCAAAATAAATTATACATTCATTTAATTCAGAAAAATAAATGGATTCGAAATCTGTAATGGGTGAGGATGAGCAGAGTTGTGACATGGTTAAAGATTTCTCTTTGCTGTAATGGTTTGAGAGTTTTATGGAATTTAGAATCAGGATTTTTGATTTTGGTTTTGGGGATTTGAACATATTAATTACGTGATTGAATAAGTTAATAAAGTATTATTCAAATTCTTTAATTGTGGAGGGTAGTTAATCTAATTTTCATATCATTTTATGGGCTATTCATTTAGGCCCAATTGTGAACGTGTGTGTCTTTTGAATGGGCTCCAATATGGGCTACTATTAGCATTTCATTTTTTTTTTTTCTATTTCATCGTTTTGTCCTTTGTCATTTTCTTTCTTTCTTTATTTTTAATTTTAGATTGGAGTAATTGCACCAAAAATCGTGTCATATGTTGTTATTTATAGATGTTCATAACCATAATTCGACTTATAATTAGGAAACTCGCTTATAATACAACAAGCAAAACCTCCATTTGTGCCGAAGGACTTGGCCAAGGCTTCAACGTCATTAAACACAATCTATTATTTATCGTGGCTTAGTCTCGAAAACTTAGCGTGAACTAGTAACAGAGCATGATAGGATGGTTTTTCGTACTTTGTACCTATACATTACATGTATGTTTGGTCGGGCATGCAATCAAATCCAAATTGAGTAATAGTGCGACTTGATATTTTCTTTCACATTGAACTACCTATTCAAAGAATTAAACAGTTTATGAGATACAAGCTTATTTTTATCTTCAAACATCTCCACGTTATTAGCTTTTATCTAAAAGAAATTATTTCCCATTATATATTATTTTTCAATATCCATTTTAGTGTCTCTTTCTTGAAGTTTTTATTCAAATATAAAGCATCAAGATTTGAGAGTCTAAGGTGGCGTTGCTGCTGCTTTTTTACATTGCATGGATTCATATAAATCCATGGGATGCCACTGAATTTTTCTTCCAAAAGGGTTGATTAATTTTCTCGTAATTATCGATGATCTTCCTTGAATTATAAGAAGGAACATAACCATGTCGACCAATATCAAAGGTCTTTTGGAAGGTCTTCGATACATTTCTCAAATATTCGGTGAGTGATACTTTCATGTTCTTAAGGGCTTATCATTTCCTTTCCAGAGTCTCGGGTCTACTATAACTCCTCCCTACATATTATGATCTTCGAAGAATTCCAAGATTTTCAAGTGCATTTTCTTGATATAAAGTAGATTCTTTATACGTACATCGAGTCCGATAATGAATAACTTGTCGTAGTTTCGGGTTTGAACAAATTTTCTAACGATCTTTGAAGAATTCCAAGATTTTCAGTGTATAATTCTTGATATGAAGTGCTGCAATAAAATTACTGAAGTTTTTTTGTTATTTTTGATGCGAGGAAGAAAAAGAGGAAGAATTTCAGATTGGCCTTCCCACAGATGTAAAGCATGTGGCTCATTGTTCGTGAAATTGATTATTTTTAGATGGTCGACTGGCTTACAACATAAGTCACTTTGTATTTTGAAGATTCGAAAGGCAGCAGAAAAGAGAATTCTTCGTGTAGGGACCTATCCGATATTCCAAAATCCTCAAGACGCCGTTCTTCGAAAGAAGGTTCATCGGATTCCCCGAAAAAGAAAGATTCATCATCCAGAGGCAAATCAAGACGACACTCCAAGGACTCGTCTGAAGGCAGCGGTAAATCCAGTCGACAACACCAGGAAGTAGACCAAGGATCAACCGACTCGTCCTCATCTTATCTCCCAGAAATTCCCAAGAAATCACGCAGAATGAAGTCTAAAGAGTCAATAAGTGGTGGATCGACCCAATCAAGAGTGAAAGGCTCCTCGTCCTCCAATCCTGGATCCCCTTGCAGTGAGCCGAATCAAACTTCAAGTGTAAAGCCAGTTATAGAGGAAGATCAAGACAAGAAAAACAGTGATGGATGTTGATGTTTTTTTCTTTAACTTCTTTTTGGTTCTAGGTAATTTTATTACTGAGTTCACCTGATTAAATGAAACCTCAGTTTCATCAATTTTCTCCCTGAATCATTGTATAAACCAACCTTGATTTATGCTAATCATTCAGAACATTTCCCTTTTGGAAAGATCGACACTCTTTTCGTATGTATGGATTTAGAATAGCATTGAACATATATTGTAGAGTATAATTCTCTAATTATATACAGTGATTCTAGTTTTTCAGACAACATTTTATCATAATTTGTCATTATAGTACTCTATTTCAATATTCAAGATGTCATGATGTGCTTTCGTCTCGTCCAATACTATGCATTGAAAAGGAATAGGAAATATTGCAATGTAACTCAAAGGTGACAAAATGAAAAATCAAATTGAGTGTACATCTTGGATGAATTTACAACTTTAGTATGTTTACTTTTTCTCTCAAGACAAGAAAAACAAAAGCCCAATAAACATAAAAATATACGAAATATGTAACCTAGGATATGAAGAACCCGCGTCGAAAAGGGTAGATTTGGAAATGTCTGGTTTGCTAAACAACTTAAGCTGTCCCAAACTACCACTGACCTTAGAAAACATCAAACCCTCATCAACTCAAAGGTCTAAATTGCCCTTCAACTTCAACTTTTTTCCAAGTTTGGATAATAAACCAGCAGTGAATGGGACTCTCCCAACAAATTTGTTATTTTCCAAATTCAACTTACTTTCAAATTCTAATGTCCCAAATTCCTTAGGCAATTTCCCTTCAAGCTTGTTGTTGTCAAGCCCTAAATAACACACATTCCTCAAATTACCACTTAATCCAAGTTTAGCATGCTTTTCAAACTTGTCCCAAAATATAGGGTATTTGTGTAAGTACCCCTTTGTAAAAGTGAAAATTACCCAATTCCCTTTAATAAATATTTTTAATTAATTTACTAAAACCTGATTTTTGAATTGTGTATAGTTAATCCCCGACTTTTGAACTTTTCCCATAAGATTATGGTTTGTAATAATTTGTATATACATAATTGGGGTACTTATACAAATACCCTATATTTTGGAACAATTTTGATAAAACATGCTAAACTTGGATTAAGTGGTAATTAAGTAAAATTTAACGTACAAAATACTCTCAAACATAAAATCACGGCATCAACGAAAATCAGCCTCCAAATTGGGAAAAAAAACAAGGCAAAATTGGAAGGAAAAATAGAAAATCATCAACAAATTCTTTTATTATTCAAAAATTTGGAAAAATATCAAGGTTATTTCAATATTGAAAGCTTTGGGAAAAAATTGAGAAACAAAATTACAGGTTTTTGAATCAATTAAATCATCGATGCGTGCAATGTGTTTGACAAAATGAGAATGTGAATTATGTCACTTTTCTTAAAAAAAAAAAAAAAAAGAGACACACTATATTATTGTAGCAATTAGGGTATGTTTGAGTCGCATTATTTTGGAAGAATGTATTCTGGAATAGTAGATTGATGGAGAATTTGTGTTTGAAAAAGAAGGAAAATTTATTGATGTGATGGAAAACATATTTTATTGAAGAATGTGTGGTTGAAAATGAGTAGAAGAATAAAAATGAAAATTTTAATGTGTACCAAACAGGAGCTTAATTAGATGCATACATATGCATTTTTGAAAATTTGAATATACCAATTCAAGCCATGTTTTATGGTAATACATATGAAAAAGAAAACTTTGAATCAATTAAATCATTGATATATGCAAAATGTTTGACACAAGAAGAATGTGAATTTTGTCACAATAGTTCTTGCAAGTGCCATTAATATTATCATAATCGAGATTTGGCGCTGAGTTCATCTCACACCACAATACAATTTGCTTTATTAAGACTGTAACCTACAAACATGTCGCTTCTTTCTCCATCATGAGTCCACTAACATTATTTTTATAGTAACGACTATTGTCAAAGTACAGTAAATCAATGCAGTCTTTTGATCAATCCTAATACTATTTGTCTGTGATATTTACATGAAGCCAATCTTAAACTTAGGGTGTGTTTGGGACACATTCTTTTGAAAGAATGTATTATTGAATAGTAGATTGATGGAGAATATGTGGTTAAAAATAAAGGAAAAGTTATTGATGTAATGGAAAAAAAATGTGTGGTTGAAAATGAGTAGAAGAATGAGAATGAAAAAATTAATGTGTACCATACAGGGGCTTAATGTGTAAAATGTTTTTTAAAAGCACGTGCACTCACAAAAACATCGACGAGCTATCATTTCAATATTCAATTACGTTGGGCAAAGGGCATCCTCACATGTCAATTCATCACTGTTTTCTCTTAATCTGGAAAGTAGCGAAAATCCACCTCCCTATAGACAAGGTAATATCAAAATCGCATGTTTATGTCCTGGACAAAAATGAACGGACAAACGTCGCACTTAGCCAACTAGCAATTTTTGTCTTCTGGCATCAAAATTTTTAAGCACCTTCAAAAGCTAGAATAATTAAAAAAAAAAAAAAAA